TACCCTCGGGTGTGTGTCATGCTGTGTGGTTGCGTCGCCGCCAGGGCATAGAGATGGGCATCGTTGAGTACGAGGAGGAGGCAGAGAGTGAGGAGGGAACCATGCAACAGCTTTAGTTAGTACATAGTCATCCAATTTTTTCCATATTTTCAACAGTAGTGAAGTTAGCATAAAACGGTTACGGCCCACTATGGCAGTTATCGCAATTGATCATCGGTCAACAGTGGGAGAGAAGTTAAAAGTCAAAGGTTTCCCAGCCCATATGACATTGGAGGAAGCTTGCTAATCATATGATATTTTGTAATCTCTGCAAATGTTCCATTCTTACATGTCAATGTCTGCTTAAGCTTAGGACAGGTGAGTTTATCATCTGCAGTTTTTAATAAATAGGAGATAATGTGAAATCACTTATCTCTTGACTTTCCAACCCCATTAACCCTCGTAGAGGCAAAGGAGGCTTGGTATTCGTATACGGGACATTTGGTCCAAGTTTTGTTCCTGCAGCTATTCATTCTACCTTATGAGCACAACGATTGAGCCGTAGTGGAAAGGCAACAGATCCGTCGTACTGAAGGCAGAGCTGCTGACCCTCACCATTTCAAGAATGATGTCACATCAACCTAGAGCCAAATGGAGTGCATTCCCGTCCAGCTTGTTTAACAACTTTTCGTACGTATCATGACTGATCGACTCCGCATTACTATTTCCAACCGTCTTAGTGGATTGGTCAACTTCATAACGAAAACGAATTGCTACGCATTGCTTACGGCCTCGCACCATTGTGTAGATCCTTTGCCCTGTGCGTTAAAATGGGTAACCTTTCCCTTCCCATTTCTCTCTGCTTTCGAACATACATGTGAATTCTCCCATAATCCTGACTCAATCGAACCACAGATAAGGCTTAAAGCTTACCCCACAGGTTCACAGTAGGAAACTGGTATTGTCATTGCAAACGGTCTACTCAAGCACCACCTGCACGAGGGACACTGGCGGTGGCATTCCAAAGACGTAAGGCCTAAATAGTGAATGCACCTTTTGAACAAAAGGCGGTTAAGACCACTGACATTTGTGACAGGTTGAACGCCATCGACTCTTTGGGAAGAAACGTGTTCAAAAACGCACATCTGTGAATCCTTTTTATCATCACCACAAAGACTTCGCCAATTCCAATGTCTACATCCGAGGGTATTAAGGTTGAGCCTGCTACCCTGAAATTTCACACAGTCTGAGAATAAAAGCAAAAAATTTAAATTTTATTTATTGTCAGTAAATGTGTTAGGGTGGTATGCTTATGGCAATGAGTGTACAATTCATCATACAAACGGTGCAGTCAGCAACGCGTTAATAGAGGTTTCTGACATTCCATTTGCGATTTGTTGCCACAGCGAAGCGACCACACCCACCTCGGTAAATGCATTGGCCTTTCCAAATTTGTTCTCTGAAACTTTGTTGGGAAGTGAATCGATGTCGCCTAGCTCCAGTATTTCAATGAGGAAAGATTACGATGTCACAGCTAACTGATCACCCTAGCACCACCAGCTTGTTCAATTATACCAAAGGCATTAAAAGGAAGCGTTACTAGCATCATGTTTCTCTTGCGTTCCTGTAATGGCCTGACAACGGCGAGTCGCAGCCGCATCCACCACACCAACAGAGATCACCTACAAATTACCATATACAACAAGGACACTTCTACAGCGATATTTAACCAGCAGTACTGACTGTTCTCGTGTGCTCTGGTAACCGGGTTCAAGCAAACTAACAAAATGCAGCCTCGGGCCGCATTGAAACATGACTTTTTGCTGTCAACCTGACCTACTCCGATCTGGCATTGTGAGGACGGGCTGTAGGAGGACACAACGAGTAAAACAATGCCTTTTATTATTATTATTATTATTAGCATCAGCAGCACCGGTTGGTCTAAATATACACCAATGAGGAGGAGAAGGGAAAGGAGGATAGCTTAGTATTTGTACTTGAACTTTAGTTGAACGAGATAGCGAAGGCGTATCTGCCGCACGTCGTAAACAATGAACTCGTTGTACCAAAGTGTGGCATTGTCCACCTTCGATTCGATGAGGTTTCCACACGGTACAACTACGCCATCATCTCTAAAATTAAGAGGGAATCACTACCGAATAAGACTATCAAAAAAATGGACAAGTGGATAAGTAGCCGCTTCTTTAAGTATGCTCAGCTCAACAACGTGCATTGAATACTCAAGCCCACAGTTCTCGCATCAAAATAGCAGGGCAGAATAGATTCGCACGTCGTACTTACAAAGTAATCCAAGTAGACGGATCAGGCATATTGCGACCGACACCCTGAACACTGTGCTTCCCCTCAGGGAGTTGATTGGCGTTATAATCTGCATTCACGAGGGGATTGATTTCACCAAGAGAGACCTAAAATGGAGGACACACTGATGCGCTTTCCGACTCCCGTCTACAACACCATCGCGGTTCTCACAACCAACTCAACCTTTCGCATCGCCAGCCAAACTAGATAAAATTGCACTTTTAACAGTGGTTCTCCAAGAGGATGTAGGAGAGCATAATCGCTAAGGCAAATGGCGCTCAATTCGAGAAAATGGCCACTCGGGTGTCCTGGTTCAGATTACCACCGATTCCAATGTAAAGGCTGAAGGCGATACAAACAGAATGAGCACTTAAATGCCACAAAATTTAGCAGTGTTAATGTTTTAACGTGCATTTTGTCTATCCTAAAGACGACTTCCACAAACCCGCTACGAAAAGCCCGTTTTAAGGTTCCCAAGAAAAGGGAATTCGGATTGTCCACGTGAGCCTGTTTAAAAAATCCTCCACCTCTTCAATATTTACTCAACAATTCACAGTCGCTGAATCAGGTGTGAAAATATTGCGAGGGAATCCCACAAGAACCATAAAAGAAGGTACATGCACAGCAGGGAATAAGTAAGTTTCAACTGATACGACTTATTTCGATATTTCGGCACAACTAGTTTCAAAGATTGTCTGAAACCACTAGAAGAAGAAGGACGGACAAAACGCACCTCGCAAAGAGCCATGATTCCAACATTATTGTTAGACGTAGGGTAAGTGTAATTGGCGGATTTGGAAGCGCAGTCAGCAAAGTAGACGCCCTTGCCAAACATATAGCCCGTGCAAGGTGCCTCAGGTGGCGCTATCTTTAGACCACGACCCAAGATTCCCATCCAATTGGTTATGCGACTTCCGTGCCACAAAAGCCGTCTAAAAAGACACACATTGACTGATACAGCCTTAGGGCAGGTGGGTTGGTTCCTGGACTTCCAAAACGTTCCATCACCAAAAGGCAAAATTCAAAATGAAATGTAACAATCACAAACCTCGTGCCGTAGTCACAAAAAGATTCCACCTCTCCACTCTTATCCAACTCAAAGGTTTGCAAGACTTCCAGCTCGTAGGAAGAGTGTGTTGGAGCATGAGTTACACTAACATAGTCTTTGATTAACTAAAGGGAAATTAAAACAAGGCATGAAGACAGGAAACACCTCCATAGCAGTTGAAAAGGCTTAAATATTAATTTGAGTGGTTAATAAATCCATCCGTGTCTGTTACCACAAAATATATAATCAACATGAAGAACTCAATACTTCAGTGATAAAATAACCGGCCAACGGAAAATGCCAATAGACGGAGAGCAAAAGTGTTTAGGTGGCTGGAAAAGAAGAATTATTGAAACAGACCTTATCCATTTTGTCTCCAACAGCCACCGGTCTGATCTTGCAATTCAGGTTGACGTAATTCCTATCCGCCGGATGGACATTCGACGTCTTCGTCTCCTTCTTAATAATGCTAAAAGCCGCCTCAATGTCCTCCAACGCCTTCAATAAGTCCAGCTCCGTCCTCAAAGCCTCCGGTGTCGAGATCAGAGGAGGTACTCGCATACTAACACACACAACAAAACAACATTTACCTCTACACATCCCCACAACCGCCACCTCATCGCATGCCCTCCCACCTCTCACCCCTCGCCCTCCCTCCCTCCCTCCATCCCGT